AATAAATAAAAATAAATAAATATTTAAAAAAAATAAATAGTAATCTGCTCTGATTTTTTTTTTCCTTGGTGGGGGGACATGGGTCTGGCTATGCAGTTCAGGCAGACTTCAAAGTTACTATGTAGCCCAGGCTGGCCTCAGCCTCCTCAGTGGGTGCTGGGGTTACAAGCCTGCACCACCACACCCAGATCGAGAATACCCTTTTTTAAAAGAGACAGGTGTCAAAGTACTTAAGAATAAAGTCCTTCTCCCACGAGGCACTGGCCCCGCCTACAGGGGCAAGCTGAGCCAGCAACCGAGTCCCGGCAAGTGTGGTGGTGCCTGCCTATAATCCCAGTGCTAGGGAGGCTGAAAACAGGAGGATTATTATGAGTCTGAGCTGTGTAGTGAGACCCTGTACAAAATACACACACACACAAAAGATGAAAGTATTACAAGATCTCTAAGTAGGACCCGAGACCCTTAGCTCAGTTCTTTAAGTGGCTGCTTCAACAAAGCAGTTAGCCTCAGGTTGCTGTGGTTCGATCCCCACAACTCCAGCCAGCCAAACCTGCCCTGAAGGCATTCGGAGCCAGCCAAAAAAAAAAAAATCCTTAAGTAGGACCCAAGACAAGCCCAAAGACCGCGCGATTCCATCCCCAGCACCACATGTGTGCCAGCCCCACCCCAGGGTGGGCTGAGCTGGCCAGAGTCCACACATGGTGGCACACACCTGTAATCCCAGCACTGGGGAGACTAAAAGCAGGAGAATCACTATGAGTCCGAGTTGCATAGTGAGACCCTCCAACAACCAAATACATTTAAAAAAAACAGAAAGAAAGGGATCTATAAGTAATTCTAAAGAAAGAAAGAAAGAAAGAAGAGGGCTGGTGAGATGGCTCAGTGGTCTAAAGCACCTACTTAGAACAAGCTTAGCAAAGCACAGGGACCACGGTTCAATCCCCCAGCACCACATGCAGCCAGCCCCGCCCCCTGGTGGGCTGAGCTGGCCACACACACACACACACACACACACACAAATAAAATAGAACTAAAAAAAAAAAAGAAAGAAAAGAGAACATTTCAGAAAAAACACATTTGGGAGAAAAGACTTTTTGAACTAGTACTAAGTTTTAGCCAGGCAAGGTAACTCTCATCTTTAATCTTAGCAATGAGGAAGGTTCAAGGGGGAGAATTCTAACTGTGAGTCTCCTCTGAGCAACTTAGGGAGACACTGTCTCAGCAAAGCAAAGCAAAAACATAATAAAGTATGCTCCACGGTACTTATAAAACTGCTAATGCCACACTCCATTATCCACGATGCATTTCACAGGATAACATACGGTACGCACTCTTTACTGTTTTTCTGAGACAATGTCTCATCATGTACTTTAGGCTACACAATGAGTCCAAGACCAGCCTGAACCACATAGTGAGAATCTGTCTCAATAAAAACCCCACATGAGGCTTGGGAGATAGCTTAGTAGAATAAGGTTCTGAGTTCAATCCCTGGTACCACAAAAACTCACAGTGATCCTCCTGTCTCAGCCTCCCAAGTGCTGAGATTACAGGCATGCATCAGTCGACTGGACTTTAAAAAATAGGTATGGGGGGCTGGAGAGATGGCTCAGTGGTCTAAAGCACCTACTTGAAACAAGCTTGGCAAAGCACAGGGACCGCGGTTCGATCCCC